ATAGCTCTTTACGCAGAAATCTCATTCTGGTTTGGAAGTTTCAGTAATGTCTAGAAAATAAACAGGAATGTAGATCAGATGGTGCTTAGAACGTTTCTTTTTGCGCACAGTTTGCACGCCGGCTTACAAAAGTGGCCGGTCCAACAACCCTCCAAGTTAAAGTTTCTGCTTGGTCGCCATTTGGCAACCAACTCTTTTGGTTTAGGGAGATCTTTTTACAAATCAAGTCCACAGCTCCAAAATTTTAGGCGCCATGGCGACCAAAAAGGTCCCAAACTTGGAGGGTTGTCCAAGGAATCACTGGCCGGACCAGGGGCCTTCATTTCTACGATGTAGGATTTTCGGCAGAGCTCAGAAGCTGTCGGTTTGTCACAAGTAAGTAAAATGTTACGGCAACTTACAGGACAAATTTCAGCTCATTAATCTTCTTCTAAGATAAGAAATATTCATTTACGTCTTTTTCGTTCGGACCAAGGACCACATACTGTAGCCCCCGAAATGATCGCAACCACGAAATGATCCCCAATTCGACCCCGAAAAGATCCCCAATTAATTCTTGGAATGGAATGGTATTCCGTCAAGGAATTATTACAAGTCTGTTGCAGCGTTTACGTTCTTGAATAGCATTTAACATTTCACCACAGTTAATGTGATTTTTTAGCGCTTTTGTCAGCTAATCGCCTTTATGTCAACTTTTGCATCTTCAACATCATTTAATTTTAAAAAGTTTTAAAACACCATTTTTAAAATTCATTATCCAAGGTATACAGTTTTAACATCATTTTTAGAATTTATTAACATCCATGCAGTTTTCTCTATAACCCGGGCTATAATAACCTAAGTAAATATGCTAAAAAATGCTATGCATTGGAATATTTTCAATTTTTTGATGTTCTCAGTTGCAGTTCATGGTGTTACTAAAAATATACTGAACTTTGCTTAGTGCTAAATATTATTTGTCTTATTTTTGTTTAATCCAGCTTTTGTTTAGTCCAGTTTAATCCCGAATAAATGTCATTACAGAATGCAAGACAGTGAAGATAATTAGTGAAACTAAAATTAAAGTTGCGCATTTTGCTGGATCCATAGTTCTAGGATATTATTTCATTCCTAAAATTAATTGGGGATCATTTTGGGGACGACGTGAAGAGTAATGGGGATCTTTCCGGGGTCGATTTAGGGATCATCTCAGGGGCTGCACAGATCCTCTCATGTCGATCTGTAATAATATAATCTATCATAAAGGCATGAAAATGTGACAAAGATTGTACATTGGAAGTTGTGTGAATGATATCAGAAGGAACGGAATGAAAAATGGTTTGAACATGTGCCAGTAGGGGTTGTAGAGAATGATGAAGTAAAGCTACTTTTGCGATGTATGAACATCATGGCGAAAACATTGTTGAAGCAAGGAGACTTGACATCATCGTAGTGAGCAATGCCAGTATATATAATTGTGGAAATTGCTTTACCTGCAGACAGTAGGATATATTAGAAAAATGTGGGCTGTGGAAAACGTAGAAGAAGTACCGGTTGTCGTAAGGGCACTTGGAAGTGTTACTAAGGAGATTGGACAATGGAGGAAACCCTGTTTGGTAGGACTATAGCTTTTAGAAAGGCGTGCAGCAATTATTCAATGAAATACATGCCCACTGGCTGTATACTCTCTTGGTTAAAAAACAAGAGGGGGTGATCAGGGGTTGGCATGCAAGATGTTCCCAGCTAAGACCTTTTAGACTTTTGTCTTCTCAATAAATAATACCGCTGACATTTTAGAATTACAGCGGAATTGAAAGATCAAAGATAAAAAAATTCAATGCGTTACTGTAGTAACAAAAGATTCGTGTTAACTAACCGTCATCGGTCTGCTCTTTCCAATTGCTGATATGGGTTACAACAGCCATTTTAAATTTCTCATTTTCTCTCTTTAGTTCTTCCTCCTTCTGTTTCACCTCCTCAATGATCGGAATTCTTTCTTTCGTCCACTGCTCTCTTTTTCCTACTAGCTCTCTCAGTTCTCTCTGCATTTCCGGTTTCTCTTTCAAAAACATGCTCAAAAGTTGTTCATTCGTCTCGGGAACAGCCTCTTCGTTTGACCAGAAACCCCTCTCTCGTTCATCATACCAACTATCTGGTATTTTTTGCTTTAGAAGCTCTTTTAACATCTTTTCCCTGTTCTCAGCCATCATGGCTTCGTGCTCTTTTCTTGCCTTGCTTATCCTCAATCTTTGCAGGTCTTCAAACAATTCCTCTGAAGCCTTCGCGGTCAATGAAGTTACTTGGCTCTGCGGATTCAAATCTTGAAAAAACGATCCAAGTTTTACAGCATCATCTTCAGCAGCACCATTTTCACTGTAATTGATAATCAGAACCTCTGCTTTACTGTAAATCTTTGTGGGACGACCACTGGCTATCGGTAACTTTTCTATTTCCTTCAAGGGGAGAGCAGTACGTAGTGCCCTTGGTTTTGTCACTTTCTCCAACAACTCAACAAGATCATACAATTGCAACGCTTCAAAAACCTCTTTTAACAACCTGACTGAGGTATCAGGGAAGAATTCTCTAATGTTCCACAGTCCTGTGGTGCGCAATTTAACTGGATCAAGCCCAAAGGACTTATAAAATCTCTCCAGAGCAACTGGGTCAGTTTGAAGGCTTGACGTTAATTCCAAACACAATTCTTCACTTAAATCTTTAAGGCACAGTTTCGAAAGCGAATCTATAAATTCAAGGAAAAAATAAAATTGTAAAGTTCACAACCACCTCGTTTTCCTCAAATTAGTCACAAACAACTGATTCTTCCCTTAGACCTCTCAAGCTCAGTTTCGAAAGGCAGTCTTTAAATTCAAATTAATTTTAAATCTAACAACCACTTCGATTTACTTAAATTAGTCAGAGACAAAAGTCGACAACAGGCTAGCCTTTTACCCTTTATTTATTGGGGCACTGCACAAGGGAGGAGCGGTTGTCCTCCATTCTATACCCCATAACCAGGCGTCCCTGCCCAAGGCTAAGAAAACCTGATATCCTATCGATACGAGACAATTTGGATCTGAAATCAGCGAAAATTCTTAACTTCTACAGACTCTGGGGGAGGGGAAGTCCCATGGCAACCCGACGGGGTAGGAAGATGAAATTGAAATTTTGTGACATTCGAGCAATGGCATTCTTACAATCACACGTAATCGTGCCGGGTGGTCGCTTACGGGAAACGGGAAACAAAAGAATATGTCAAATTTCTAAGCTAGAATAAGGCGTCTTTTTTTTCGAGTTTTATCTTTCCCATATAAACCCTAAAAATTATAAACATTTATTTTGGATTTATCACCAAGTGCTCGCCTAGAAGGCGTTTGGTAAAGTGAGTTACTTCAAGATCAAGGACGTCGCCAACAACACACGAGCTTGAAAGCACTAGCACCGACGAAGTTTCACGGTCACGTTCTGGCAAAGGTGAACAGAAGCTATCAAAAATTAAGAAAGGAAAGCCAGATCGGTTCAAGAAAGCTTTCCTTTAAAAAGTTTTTAAAAAATAACTTACGCTTCTGTTTTCGTATAGTTAGTTTAATCTGACCGACACCTCTTAGTGGTATGTATACCACACATTTGGACGTTACTAAGGGTACTGGTTGCGATTAATTCAAAATGAGCTCACAGCATTAAAATGAGTACTTGAGCACTGCTCAAGTAGCAATGCTCAATGCTTTTCTGAGTTCACAATGAGAATACAAGTAGTATAGGAAATATTTTTGATTACCGGCAGTTTCCTCCGTTCCAACTTCAGATGGTGCACCAATCGACCCCGGTTTCCCACTGTCACTTTCTGTCGTTACGCTGTGTGCCTCAGATTCCACCAGATAATTCTGAATGTAGTCGTATTTCTCCGGATCTAAATATCTTAACTGTTGCTCTTCCTTGCCATCAGGATCTTCTGAAATTGTTGGAGAAGTGATAACGAAATTACAGTAACACAGATGGTACTGAATAAGACATCCCGTCCATACGTCTCCCCTTTACTTGAAGTCGAATAGTAAGATTTCTCCGTTTTTTGTTTAAATTCTCTGCAACATACGTAAAGTTGTCGCATCGCTTTCGGCCTTCCATACACTCGTATCCGTTACTGTTTGAAAGCGGATATTTTCTCATTTAGATTGGCCTTGAATCATGATTCTAAAAAAATTTCCTTTTAGTATCACTCTTCTGAAAAAAGAAAAAAACTGCTTGGTAGACAAATTTGTCGTACCAAGCTCATCCTAGACCCTAGTAACCCAGAACCTCCAAGGTCTTTCTGGTCGACCTCTGTTTACTGCTTGGTATTTTTAGCCCGACAGTGAAAGTAACTAGCCCTTCCCAGTAGGCTTAAACATTTCACGTTTCTGAAAGAAAATTAACTTTAGAGGCACTATTTGCCACATTATAATGTGTTCAATTTTATCCTTGGTTTAGATTTTACTTTCCGTTGTTTTAAACTCACTTTTATACATTACCATAGATAAAAACAAAGGAAACTAACATTTGAATTAAGTGGCAGTAAATTAATTCCGTGACTGGGGATTAGATACTGCAATCTCACTTTTTTTTCCCGACTTGTCCTCATCTCTGATCTGTCCACTTGAATAAGGGAAAATGGCGTTAACAACACTCTTCAATCAGGAAAGCGTTTCAAAATTTGAGTTTTCGGTGACTGTTCCTTACCGTATGCGTATGGATTGTCATCCTAACCTCGTTCTCAGGGTTCTCTCCTACCCGTCCCTTTCTTGCTCCGCAAGGACGGGTAGGAGAGAACCCTGGGAACGACGTTAGGGTTATTCTCCTAACAGGAATTCCACGAAAAAAATCTAATTTGAAATACACTAGTAAAATAGGGTTGCATGTGAACGGGGCCTAAAATACTATTTGGCCAGCCGCAAACGGCCTCGTGTACCATCTGATTTAGGAGCGATCAGGGAGAAGACAAGAGTGTGCATAAATTCTTACACAGCTAAGTAAGTTTAAGCTAAAAATTAGTCACCTTGGGCTTCACTAGCCAACTTGTTTCTTGTTTTCTCGTACTCGTGCTCGTCGATGGTTACAATTACTTCCACTTCCTCCCCTCTAGCAAGTCCTCGCATTTCGTCTGTGACAAACAAGGCTTGAAGGCGGGCTTTCAACGTCCCATCCCGGTACAATTGCCACAAAACATCCAGAGTTGATACACTATCCACTTGAACTTTGAGGCACACGCACCCTTCAGTAATTTGAATCAGATTGGCCCCAGCAGGAAGCACACAGGTAGTAACGGCAGAGATGAGCTGATCATATGATGAGTCACGAATCAACAGCTCTAAGCTTGAAGCCATTGTAAAGCCTCCTGCGACCATTTTGAACACAGTCTTTATGTTCAGAACTAGAACATAAAAAAAAAAAAAGGTTAATAATCGAGTTAGCCTCTTTCAAGCTCTCTGATGGAGGCCGGGTAAGAAAAACCAAATATTATGAAAAAATAAATTAATGCATGCGAAAGATATAAGAGAAAGAAGAGGCTGTATACAGTTTGATGGGCACGCCGTCGGTCGCATAGTCTAGCTGCTGGCGTAACCCAAACTTTAATGTCTAATTGCTTTATTCCTTGAAATTCAGTACTGGGCTGCCAAGGGGCAATTTTTTCTGAGGGGAGGGGGTAGCTGTACATAGGCTACCATAAAACCTTGTCGCCGACCATAAGGCATTGCGTAGCATAGAATCTCATGTGAGAGTGACATATAAACTAATTGTAACTTTGTACCCTTTTGAAAGCCTCTTGTAATTATCGGTAATATTATAGCCTGTGAAAACAGCCGTTTCTCCTCGAGGGGGTTACTTAGGATAGAAAAGGGGAATGGATCACTGTTTCCACGCATGTAATGAGGCATGATAAGGGTCGGGATCAGCAAAAACCACGCCTCATTAAAGGATGTAATGTTTCAACATGTTTTGCACCAACTGATGTTTTTTGACAATATGCCAGTGCAACTGGGAAATGCATTAACAGTAAGAGCTGAAATGTATTTTCATGCCACAGAGTGATTCCAAGAGCCAAAATAAAAAAGCATTAAGAAGAAGGAAAACTAAGATTCAGGATTGCCAACAAGGAATTAATTATATCATTTTCTAAAGCACTTGCAACTTCATTCCCAGGGACTTTGAAAAGTTGAAGCTTCCGCTATTGTTGCCCTTGAACGAAACTACCTTCAGCATCTATAGTATCTTTAACCAAGAGGGGATTTAATCCCTCTTGTTTAAACCAGAGGCGGAGTACCCTCTGTTCGTGTGGCCATTAAATTGTTGTTATTGAAATCTGAGCATTGGTCTTTTGAATGTATTCAGTACAAGAAATACAGATGAACATTACAACGGCTATAATTTACTTCAAAATACAGATTTGAACCAAAATTTTTAAGCCGTCCTGAACTGTTTAAAGCGTTATTTTGTGAGGTGAATATTTGACCAGCGATTTAGAAATATACTGCCCGTCAAATAATCATCTCGCAAAGTAACCTTGCTCAAAACAAGTGGAGAAGGTCAGAAGACAGTGAAATAGGGACAAATAATGACATAGAGGAAGAAGAGGAAGAGGAGGAAGAAGATGATGAAGGAGAAGAGAATAAGTACAACAATATATGCTGATAACAGTGATCTTGTGCTTATTAAGTTAAGATGAAAACTGTAATGTAGTTCAGCAAGAAAGTGGCTGTTAATCCAGTGCTGAAAATGAGCAAGAGAGATGATGAAACAGAAGGAGACAGAACACCCAAAACAAGTGCAGGGAGACATTCAAAAATCTACAAATCAAGACACTTTTTACATGCAGTTTCTGACTGATGGTACTAAAAAAGATGCATCATATAAGCAAATTATGTGCATAATGAATGTAATGTTTTTCAAACTTGTCCAGTGGACTGACAAAATAATAATAATTTAAACATAGTATCGTATGAATGAAGGTCATAAAGTACAGGGGAGATAGTGGATAGGCAGAAAAAGTTCAATTAATGATTTAAGGCTATAGTTATATGATGTAACCCTATTTTTATTACCGGTGCATTATTTTCATTTTTTTACCCGAAAAATAAGGTGTGCCATGGATTTTTCTGTGAAAAATGAGGGAGTCACATAAAACTAGCCTTCTTGAAATTTTTTTTCCAACCCTCCTTTACAGTACTCTATAACTAGTTCCTTAACAGACCATATATATAGAGATTACTTCATGGTTGGTGAGTGAGTATGACTTTTACTCATGATCGCGAATTGTAAAGAACTGCAAACGAACAAGTGAGTGCAGCGAACGAGTGAGTTTGCAATTCTTCATGCAAGTGAATCAACCATGAAATTAGTTATTTGTTTATTTTATAAGTACTAATCATGAGATTTCTTTCAAACATTAATGACGAAAGCGATTAGATGATGAAATGAGTTTATTCACTCAAAGGCTTAATTACCAATTCAACATCTTTTCAAAATTTTTAAACAATGAAATGCATTTTATGCACTCGAAAGCATATATAAAAGCTTCGTTATATACCTATTAACATTTTGTCTTTTCAAAATTTCAGCAAAAGGAAAAAAATCATGACAACTAAGTTGTATATAACAATAATTGTTATATACAACTTAGTTTTCATGATTTTTTTAAATTATTAAATTTAGCCTCTCCAAAGTAATGCAGTTCTTAATGTGAAGCTTTTACACTCATCATCACTGTCCTCCACAGGCCAAAGTCTTTTTCATCATGGCATTAGGCTTCAACTATTAAGGTATTGTTGATGGAAAAATAGCCTTCTTGAAATTCAGCCCCACTGAATAAAGCCATGCATTAGATTGCTGCGATAAATCTATCAACTGATCATGACCGAACTGACGTGACCTATCTTGAAACTAAAACGATGGCTTGCTATGCAGTTTCCATGCCTGAAGTGAGGTTGTTTCCTGTACAACCACTTTTCACTATTGAAAAACATCGTTGAAGTCCAATCAGGTCTCCGCAAACAATGACTTTTCAGTCGGAAAAAATTCACTGCTCACATATTAGGGGGTCACTGATTGGCTATGACTATAAAAGCAGGATGATTTGTTCATTACTAAATCTCAGTACTATATAATAAAAGGGGGAACATAATTTGCTTTTTAATGAATCTTACCTCCTGCCAACTTGTCACTAACTGAAGACACTATGCCAGCTGCTCGTGCTGAAATGAAACAAAACAAATTCAAAGTAGTTCTAGCTGATAGCACTAATGCTCACAATACATTGGCAAAGCTTAAGGGTTTAAAGGTTTTTTGAAATCCCCCCTCCCACACCCACCCTTTTAGGGGTGGCGAATGGTACCTTAAAAAACGTGGGTCTCGGAAAATTTTAACAGGATCTCGAAATCTCGGAAGCATTTTTGATAAGTCTCGAAGTCTCGTTTTTGCATGGTTTGTTTTTAATTTTTTTGAGTCTCAAAACTTTTTACCAAAGAGTCTCGGGCTCGGATTTCTAACTAGGGTCTCGGCATCTCGGATTTTACCATTCGCCACCCCTCCTTTTGGGCCATGACAATCGTTATTATCATTTTATATAATAAAACAGGTTTGAGCATAAGGCAGCTTGAAAACAAGCTAGGGTGGACCCGTCAAAGCAATGCACTCACATAGATGCACACACTTCTTATTTAGGTTGACCAAGATGTCAGAACATTTACATTAAGACATGCCGGAACATTGCAGAATATTGAATATTCTGCAGCGTTCTGGCATGTTCCGGCATTTTTTATTATAATTATATTTTATATAAAATTTTTACATAAAAATAAACTAATAATAAAAAATTGATAATAAATAAATAAATGATATCTATATACTTTAAAATTAAACTCAATTTGGGTGAGGCTTGCACTCTTTAAGCATGTAAGACTGCCATCTTGGTTTACACTCTAAACCAGTGACCCTTGTCAGAGATGCGCTGACTGCATGTGGTGCTCTCTGTACATTGCACTTTTCCCAGTACCATGGAGAGTGGCAAGTTAATGCTGGTGATATTTGCATTCATCAGCATTAAACAAACAAAGCAGGAAACCATCCCATTCTTTCTTGTAATTTTTTCTCTATGATTATATTAACTCATAAGAAATAAAAAGTTGAAAGTTGGTGAAAAGTTGAATTCACAGACAAAACAAGTACATGTAGATATTCAGATCCAGGCATTTTTAAGAAATTAATAATTTATAAGAAATTAAAACCGTTAACTGCAATAAAAACGCTTGATGTTTCAAAAGATGTTATAAAAGAAAAATATCCTTAACTGCATCTAAGACCAAATCCAGCTGTCAGGAACAGAAACTAAAGGAAGTAATATAACTCAATCAATATGCATGAGACAGACCTCACCAGCCTCATGAGCATGACTCAAATGTGAGCCAAGCAACAAAAATAAGATAATTTTTGTTCAGTCAAAGTTTAGTATCTCCACAGTGTAATCTACATGCTAGAAAGAAATTAGAATCAGAACAAATATCATTTTACATTTATGAGGTAAACTTAAAAGTCCTGCTGGCCCACCAAAACCATTTTTAACATTTTTGTGCACACCAGTTTAGAAGAGTCCTGAAGCACACTTTTTATGAAAAATCAAACTTCAAGCAAAAGAGAATCAAAATTAATTTGCTCACACCATTAAGTAGCCAAAACGAATTTATAAGTTTTGTTTTGTGAGAAAGTACCTCTGCAAGGTTTAATTCACAAATAGGAAATCAGCACTTCAACAGAAAAACAAATCTGCATGTACATGTACAAGTTTACTAACTTTTGTTACATGATATCACCTGCCTTTATAATCTAGGCTAAATTAAACACTTATGTGGAATTGAAATGGCACCTTATACAAAAGAACATCTAAAAGAAAATTTTAAGGAGCCTTCCTTTTATTATCACAATGCAAGGGAAAATCCCTTAGGATATTCTGGGGATAGCGAAGCTATCCTTACTTATGAACTGCAGGCAGGCCTCTCAAAGTCTTTTTTACCCTGAATTTTTACTTAATCACTTTTATCAATTTATTATTATTATTATCATTATTATTTTCATTTTTATAATTATTCATTTCAAATTTTTTTTAATATTCTGCAGTGTTCCGATGTGTTCTGGTATTCCGGGGTATGTGTTCTGGTGTTCCTGGTTGTTAATACATGCCTGTGTGCACAGTTCCATCAGAAATTTCAACAAGATGCTGTTGGCACATATATATATGTGGGTGTCGTTGTACTGGGTGTATGTGAAGTTTTTTTTTTTTTTTTATATGTGAATTAGGGATGTTTGTTTTTAATGAGGTAGTACCGTATATTTTAAAAGTTGGTTGAGATGTGTG